TGAATTTCGATGTATTTTAAGGGCATAGGGTTGGGAAATCTTTTCATTCCCTATTAAACAAGGTCCAAGGACACATAACCGAATTTGTTCTTGTTTGTTTTATCCTCATTTTCCCCATTTCTTTTGTTCCTTTAACTTTCCTTTTCTCTCTACAGAGCATAGGTAGTCCTCAACTTACAACCACAATTAAGCCCAACATTTTAGTTGTTAAGCGAGACATTTGTAAGTGAGCTTTACCACATTTTATGACCTTTCTTGCTACAGTTCTTAAGTGAATCACAGCAGTTTTTAAGTTAGTAACAAGGTTGTTAAATGAATCTGGCTTCCCCATTGACTTTGCTTGTCAGAAGGGTGCAAAAGGGGATCACATGCAGGACACTCTGTTCATCATGTGTCAGTTACCAAGCGTCTGAATTTTGATTGTGCGACCATGGGAATGCTCAGGGGTGAGATTCAACTGATGTAATAACTGGTTTGGTGAGTGTGCACTCTGTGCACGCATGCAGCATTTGCAACTCACCTTCTGCTGCAAGCCCTGTGTGTAAAACAGGTTGCCGTGCGAATCAGCTGAGCTGGAAAACTCAGAAATAAAGCACAGACTAGAGCCAGGGTGGGCAGGTGGGCCCAGCAGCTGATCACTGGAGAGAACTGGTTCACTCACAGTGGATCTTCAGAGCTACCAGTTCGCCTGAACTGGGCCAAAGTGGTAGAATCCCACCCCCAGAGATACTTCAACAGTCGTGTGAAAAGCAGTCATAAGTCACTTTTTTCAGTGCTGTGGTAACTTTGAATGGTCACTAAACAAATTGCTGTAAGTTCAAGGCCTACCTGTAGATGGAATATCAAAATGCAAATATTTCTTGGGTAGAATCTTCTTTTGGATTATTTGAAAGAAATAACGTGAATATTGATTTGCAACAATGAAGTGATATCTCAGTGTGACTATCGGAAAAATGCTACCTACATTCTCTTGACTAAGCTTTGCTTACTATGAGTATTATTCCCTTCAGTTTTATTAATTTTTAAAACAGGAATGCAATATGAAATATAATTTAATAAATATAAATTACTTCCATAATTACACTTTCAATACTTGAAAATCTAAGGATATAAAATATTGGAAATACTGTTGGCCATTTGGGCGATCAAATCCCCTGCTAAGCACAGAAAGTCAAATTATACCATCCCATACAAGCTGTCTAGTTTCTGCTTAAACACAACTACTGAAGGGAGCTCACAGCATCTTTAATTAGCTCTTTTGTCTATATTCTGTCTCTTATGTTAGGACATTTTTCAAAATGCAATCAAAGTCTATCTTCCTATAACTAAAATCTATTCTTCCACATCCTCCAATCTAAACAGCAGGTCTTTCTTTTAGAAGATAACTCAAGATTGTTATCATAACCCTTCTCAGTCTTTTCTCAAGCTTAAACATATCCGTCTCCTTCAATCTCTTTTTGTAGAATTTCATTTCTAATCTGATTGTTCTTTTTTCCCTGAAACTAATGCACTTTCTGCAAGTCCTCCAAGTGTAATACATAAAAGTGGACTCAGTGAGATGGGCTTTGCTCATATAAAGTGGAACAATTACTTCTCTGATTTTAACATATTGTCAGCTGATGCTCAGTTTGCAATCAACTATCTTTTCCAATCAACATGGCAGATCTTTTTCCACAAGTGTTGTACTTCATTTCCATAAGGTTTTATTTATTGTTTGACAGAATTTTCTTTTATCAACAATATAAAAAATACTGAAGGAAATTTTCCCAGCCAGTGCATACTACGTAAATCAGTGACAGCAAAGCTATGACATGCTTGTCAAAGGTGATACACCATAACATTTTGGATGACACACCAATATTTACCAATACCTGGCAACAACTGCGGTATTCTCCAAAGCATGCTGTGTTCTATGTAATATTCAGCAGCTTCAGCCTCTGGAACCTCTAAAAATAATTTGAGAATGGGACATGCTTTTGCAAGGTTTTCAGAGGCTGCAAAGGAGCGTTCTCTGAAGCCACTTTGAAAACAAATGCCTTGTGCAAACTGGAGTAACCTCAGGTAGGGTACAGGGGCTTGTCAACAGAAAGAGAGCACTGCCTAAAGGTAAATGGTATACGGCAGATCCTAGGGAGCACTGAGCTGAAGGAATAATTGTGGCATTCCCCAAGGCTCACAACCTTGGGAACAGCTCAATGTGGCCTTTTTGAGTAGAAGCAGTGGCACCAGGACTGAAGCCAAAGCCCAGGTCTCTATTTTAGGCCTAACCTGTTGCTGAGTGCCGCTGTTCAGAGTGGCCTACATCTGGAGGAGATAGAGAATTTTTCTTTTGTTCTGTGTGTGTATGAGACATGCCAGCAGAGTCAAGTTAGGCATTTTCCAAATTTTTGACACACCAAACCCAAAAAATTCACCATCACTAGCCTAGATAATTCTACCATTAATGTCTTGAGGAAAGTTTAGTTGTGTTCTCAATAACAATTTCTTTACACCACCAAAATCAAGAAACACAAATTAAGTACTGCATCCTGTCTCCCTCCCACCCTGCACAGAAAGTTTATAACTTTATACACTAGAGCGACGGTCTGCAACTTTAAACTCTCAAAAAGCCATTTGGACCAGTTTCCCACAGAAAACACCAGGAGCCACAACCTGGGTGGACATGACTCCTACCCAGTCACATGACCCTCCCGAGCCACGCCTACCCAGGATTTGTGGCTCCCAGTGTTTTTTCTGTGGAAAACAGGTATCTCTGTCTGTCTGTCTTTCTCACTCATCTTTCTCCATGTCTCTCTTTCTCCCCCTTTCTGTCTTTCTGTCCCTTTCTCTCACTCTCTCTCTCTCTCTCATCAGCCACTGTCTTCCTCTCTATCTCTCTTTCTATTTGTCACTTTCTCTCCCTTTGTGTGTGTGTGTGTGTGTGTTGTGTGTGTGTGTTGTAAGACATTTCAAAAAACAGGCAAGGGTTGGGGACTTGTTCCCTGCCTGGAGACACTGGCCTGGCCTAGCTTCTGCCAATGATCCGCGTCATAATGGGCTCCAGGAGGAGGGGATGCCATCTTCCCCATTGTGAAGTGCACTAAATTTAACTGTGCTGTGCAAGGTGCTGCGAGAGCAGCAGGCAGACGACTATGGAGGTGATGAGAGCAGTGGGCCAGTGTCTCAGGGAGGAGAGCAAGTTGTATGGCTCCCCAAGCAACCGAAGTGCACGCAGCACCAACAAGGGCTGAAAGAAACACCCACGAGATGAGGCAAGCAGGGGCACTTTGCTCCCGCTCTGGAATATGGAGGGAGTCTCCATCCCCCGCCATCACTCTTACCTTCTCAGGCCAGGAGAGGAGTTACTGGGAAGGGTGAGGGGTGGGGCCAGCTGACAGAAAGCCATAGCAGGGGGACGAAAGAGCCACATGCAGCTCTGGAGCCACAGGTTGCTGACATTCACACTAAAGAACCAGTTACTGAGTTTCTTGGTTAATGGCAGAGGTGGTATTCAGCAGGTTCTGACCAGTTCTGGAGAACCAGTAGTGGAAATTTTGAGTAGTTCGGAGAACCAGCAAATACCACCTCTGACTGGCCCCGTTCCCATCTATTCTCTTCCTCCTGAGTTCCAGCTGATCGGCTGGGTCTTCTTTTGTTGCCCTGCATAGGAGAACGGAGCTGGAAAGCAGGTTAGGGAATGGGATTTTGCAGTAACCTTCCCCCAGGAGTAGGGAGGCAATGGAGATTTTACAGTATCCTTCCCCTGCCACGCCCACCAAGCCACACCCACAGAACCGATAGTAAAAAAATTTGAATCCCACCACTGGTTAATGGCATATGTATTCTAATCTATATCCAAAATTTGGGATAATTAACAAGAGGACAACACATATCTAAACAATTGTTCAATTCATGCTCCTTTCTCCTAAGTATAATTCATCCTGAAGCAATGGCCTGTAGCCCATGAAAATTTGCATCCTAGGCTTTCAGCTAATATTGCGAGGCACTTGACCATTTTGGTTCTACACCATAGTAAGTGATCTAAAAATGGCATTCATGCTATTCTGATTCCATCAACACGTACATTATGGATGGAAATTAATAAAGGAGAGAAGCTACCTGGAATTAAGGAGAAACTTCCTCATAGTGAGGATAATTAACCAGTGGAACAGCTTGCCTTCAGAAGTTGTTGGAACTTCATCACTGGAGGTTTTTAAGAAAAGATTGGACAACCATTTGTCTGAAATGGAAAAGGGCCACCTGCTTGAGAAGGGGCTTGGACTAGATTCCCAACAGGGGGAGGGGTATGTGAGATGATATTCCAAAGGGTGCAAAAACTTGGGTTTTGAAGTTTCAAAAATGTAGCATATAGGCATAATTCAAACCAGGTATTGCTTTTGTAAAGGGTGCGTGAGAATATATCAGAAGCGTTCTAGGGGTGCGGGGTATAGAAAAGGTTGGGAACAGCTGGTCCCTTCCAGCTCTATTCCGACACCCATGTTTAGCCAGTGTTTCACGTACTTACTCCTGTCCGTTCCCTGGGTTTGCACTTAGTTGCCCCTCGGGTTCCCCTGCCCCCGTCCCCCCAATCCATCCCTGGATTCTCCCCTTGCAACACCACTGCCTCTCCTGGCCCGGTCAGCTTCGAAAGGAGGAACTGCTCTCGTGCTCCCAAGTTCAAGGGCCAGCCTCTCCTGTTCAAGAGCGGGAACCCACTTAAAATCGTCTCGGACAGCTGGCTGTCTAGGGAACTGACACTCCTCCCCGCTCCTCTCCGGTTAATTGCTTCCGCCATCCAAATGTTCCGACACTGCCGGGGAAAGATGACCCCTCAGCTGACCGAGCGCCCCAGGAACACGAAAGGAGCACATGTCACCCCCAAGCCCGCCCCTCCACTCTCTTCTAACTCTATGGCTCCATCTCCCTAGAGCGGCAGGGGCGTACCAAAGCGCGCGCCGCTCTGTCCCCCACGCTGCTGCCTGCGCGAAATGCAAGCCGGGCCGCAGCTTCCTTCTCGTCAGTCCTCCGAGGCTGCGCCGCGCTGACATCCGTCTCTCCGACTTTTTTTTTTTTTCCCTTCTTCAGCAAACACCCACCCCCCCCGCTCCTCCTCCTCCTCCTCCTCCAAGATGGTGGAGCTGTGTTCTGGTTGATCCAAGAGGAAAAGGCGGAGGCGCAGCGCGGCCCTACTCAGCCGCCACCATCTCGACAGCCACGCGCACGCCTAGAGCGCCGACGATCTTCCCATTCCCAGGCCTCGCCTGGCCCGGCCTAGCGCCGTCCCCGCCTTAGCCTTCGGCAGCTCCCCGTGCGCTTCACGTCCTTTGCAATTGGCCGCACGGCCTAGCCTAGGTGTCGGCTGAAGGAGCAACCATCCGCCCGCCCAGCGTCCGGAGCTGGCCGGCCTCGCCAGAACCTGCCGGCTTACAGCGGGAAACGACAGGTAAGTCGGCGGCTGGGCAAGTCGTGCTCTGGGCTCGGTATGCACGCTGCCCTTTCCGCTCGAAAGGCATCGCGCCGGCCTCAGCAGTCGCCTCGTCAGGCCTCCCTGCCCGTCAGAGCTCCTCGGACCCAGTCGCGCCTTTAAGGGGAGACGGCGGGCGCTTGTCCCCGGTGCGAGGAAGGGGAGGTCGCTCTTCTCCCTGCGAAGGCGCTGCCATCCGGGGCTGAGCGAGGGGCAGCCGCTAGAAGTTCCTTTATCGGCGGCGCGGTTTAGCGCAGTGCCCGCCAGGTGCCTAGAAAGAAACGCTGAGAGAGAGAGATGGTACGTGTGGGCAACATTAGGCCGCTGCCCCGGACACACGTTCTTGGCAGATTAGCACAACTGAACACAATGCAACTTCACTTCGGACAGGTAGAGGGTAGGATGGTGCTGTGAAAAACGAGGAAATGCCCTTCTTGAACCGGATTAAAAGGACTTGGGTTCAACCCCATCGGTCCTCGCGGACTCTGGATGCCGATGTGTGGAGTCTGCGTTGAAAATTGGGTATTTTGCTTGTCAGTTCAGGCCTCCTTTCTTCCAGGGCCTCCACCCACTCACTACCCGCCACCGTCCGCACACAATAGTGAGAACTCTTATGGGGAGCTTCTGTATCTGGGAATTAGAAACAATTTGCCCAGGGACTCGGCTCCAGTGCAGTTTTGAAAATGTGCTGAAATATCTATAAATGGCTGCATCACCGAGAGTAAGATGGTTCATTATAGTATAAGCAGAGAAACCAACTTTCAATGTTCACAGGGTTGTGTAGATCCTTGGACAGATGTGCTTGCTTCGTTTTTAAAAAGTTATCCTAGGCTTTATTTTGACATCCAGTATAAAATAACAGAAATCAGCGCAAGCATGTGTTAAGTAAAGTCAAACAAGCCTAGCTTAAAACATGAGGCTGTGTTCAGATTCAATTTACACGATTATGTCTTGCAAATATGTGACATATGTGAGAAATATTCATGCCATTTTTATTATGCTTGTATTTTTCCCATAGAACAAGTAAGGTAATCAGGTAATCCCTATTCTGAACTATTTGGATGGACGGACAGTGTTGATCTGTTTTTTACCTTTTTCTGAATGCAATATATTTTGTTTTGCCTTTCTTATTTTTCTTTGTTTATTTTTGCTGAACAAAAATCACCAATATTCAGTTAACTGACATGTAAGCTACATTTAGTTCTTTACCTCAGGGGACATATCCAACCTTTACTTTCAGACAACATAATAGCAGTGGTTCATTAGTGCAAGTTAATCTTGTGCTTTTTAAAGTTTAATGTCAATACTCAAGTTCTAATGAACTCCAACTATATTTATTTTTTATCCTTCCTTTATTATTTTTGTAAGTAGCTCAAAGCAGCAACAAACAGTACGTAATACTGGTAGTCCTCGATTTACTACATTTCATTTAGTGACCATTCAAAGTTACAACAATACTGAAAAAAATTACTTATGTTGCAGCATCCCTATGGTCACGTGATACAAATTCAGGTGCTTGGTAACTGACTCACATTTATGACAGTTGCAGTATTCCGGCATCATATGATCCACTTTTACGACCTTCTGACAAGCAAAGTCAATGGGAAAGCCAGATTCATTTGATACCCATGTTACTAATTTAACAACTGCAGTGATTCATTTAACATTTGGCAAAAAGGTCATATAACAGGGTAAATTCACTTAACTGTCTCACTTAGCAACATAAATTTGGAGCTCTATTGTGGTCAAGGACTACTTGTACTCCTTCCTTCTATTTTCTATATAACAACAACACTGTGAGGTGGGTTGGGCTAACAGAGCGATTGGGCCATAGTCACCCAGTGTTGTAGCATACTGCTTTAATCATTAGACTTAAGTAGCTGTTTTAAGTCTGAGAAAGAAGGAATATGCTTGTATCCTCTGCTGCCCCATTATGGTCCCAGAGTTAGGCTTTGCCACCCACTACAACTTGGGGTTGAATTGTTGAAGAAATGGAACTTATTCTATATATGGATATAAGTATTATGTGAAATTAGAAATCTGTATGTAGAGATTCCTGAGTTACATATAAGTCTATACTTTGAGCTGTTTCCACACAAAAACAATATAGGCAGCGGGGAGAGGCAGCAAGGTTGAGCCATAACTTGAGGAATCTATTAAGTGTATTACTTGTTTTCCTTACCTCAGATCAACACTCCAAATATTTGTCTGAGCAAAAAGAATTAAACTGAACTTGAGTGATCTTTATGACATTTAGAAAAACCTTATGTAAGTTGGGATTCCGAGTAGGAAAATGTTCTTGTTTAGTTTTTTATGATTTGGACAGGTGTGATATTGCTTGATGAATGCCATAGTATATATTAATTTTATTTAAATAAATTACTGCAACCACCTAACAGAATCCAGATCCTTTAGTTTGGAGAAATAAAACTGAAAGTAGAAGAGCCAGTTCCCCTGCAAGTTTAGTTTATGCCACATGTTATTTCCCATAACAAGATTAAAAAAAGAATGTGCATACTTTTACTAGTAAAATCAGGTGGCTTAAGTGGGAAGGAATTATTTTATTTCTTCCCAGTAACATTTGTTAAGGATAGGAAATATCAACGTTGTACGAAGATCAAATACTTTGGCCGCTTAAAGAGAAGAGAGTACTCACTGGAAAAGACCCTGATGTTGAGAAAGTTTGAATTCAGAAGGAGCAGGGAATGGCAGAAGATGAGATTACATAGTGCCATCGAAGCAATGAACATGAATTTGGGCAAACTCCAGGAGACGTGAGGACAGCGGAGCCTGGCATTCTGTGTCCACAGGATTGCAAAGAGTTGGACACAAAAACTGAACAATAATGCTGTATTTTTGGGGGGGCGTGAATACTACTTCTCATCATTAGGAGATAACTGGAGAGAGTGTTAAAGAGCAGATTTTTTTAAAAAAACAATAGTTCATATGTTAATTCAAGTTCTGATTTTAATTATTACCAATTTCAAAAATTTGCAGAATGAGGATAGACTTCAAGCAATTTCTTCTTCGGATTTTAACTTGCAAATTTGGAATAATGGAGCTTATTGCAAGAATATTTAAATTTTGTCCTATTGAAACCTCTATCCTTTGGAAGTTCAAAATGACTTCTTTGGAGTTCCTATGTAGCCTCTGCTTAAAGGAACATCAAATTTTGAGATGTGCTTTAATAGTGAAATAACATTGTCATCACAGAGTTCTAAAATGATATGTAAAATGTTTTCTAGAGGGTGAGTAACTTGATCCAGAAAAGGTGACCTAGGAACTTAATGTAGGTGATTGTCCTGAGTTTAGTAAAATTATGAATGAGATGCATATTTTGTTTTATTCTGTTAATGGGATGCCTATTTTGATAGTTATTGACATGTAATTACTAAAACTGACAGAAGCTCTGGTATCACATGGTAAAAAATAGTCTCCTTTGAGCTGAGCTTGATTGTTGATGACTTCATGTTCAAATCCATGTAGTTTTATAAGTAACAATGCACAAGTGTTTTCCTACAAGAACCCTATATTTACTTATCCGCTTAGCTGATATTTCCAGATACATAGTTTCCCACTCCAAGTATTAACCAGGTCCATCCTTGCTTAGCTTTTTGAGTTCAGTCAGAATCTGCTACATACTACCGGTACTATCAAATAGTTTACAGGCTGATTTAAATGTACCGTTAAAGTATTACACAGTAAGCCCAACTAAGCCTGAATCTTTCCCTCTTTTTATTTGCATTAAAAAACAGTTCAGAATATTAGCTTCTGTTCTTGATTCACCAAAGCCTGTATCATATTATTCAAACTTTTACTAAGCCCAAACAACATTATGTGTCAACCTAATCATTGCTTCATTAAACATAGTTAGAAGTTTGTAAAATAAAATAAACAAAAAAAGCATATTTTGGGGGAATGGTAGTAACACATTGTCCTCCCATACAGATCTGCATAAAATAGACAAGCATCTCATTTAAATCTTGCATTTTTTAGAATGCCCTAAAACCATGATGGCGAACCTATGGCACGCATGCCACAGGTGGCATGCAGAGCCATTTGTATGGGCACGTGAGCCTCATGCAAACTTACCTCACTGCGCATGCCTGCGCCTCCCAGCTGATTTTCGGCCCATTTGAGGCCTTTTTTGGCCTCCCAGAGGCTCGAGAGAAGCCTCTACAGCCTTTGTAGGCCGAAAAAAAGGCCCATTTCATCACTTCTTGTATTTCCAGAAATACCGGAAGTGACTAAATGGGCCCATTTTTCAGCCTACAAAGGCTGCAGAGACTTCCTTCAAACTTCTGGGAGGCCAAAAAAGGTCTTAAACGGGCCAAAAATCAGCTGGGAGTCACAGTGCAGGTAAGGGGGCGGCGGGGGGGATCGCGCGCACATCTCACCTTGAACCTGGTGAGATTCAAATTGTCAAATTGCAGGCAGCCAGCAGGAATTCGCCTGCAATTCTGCATTCTAACCACTGTGCCACCTCGGCTCTTTATAGCTCTATGGTTAAAAGGTTTTGGATATCTTATTCTCCAAATGGTTTGGACAACAGTTCCTACTATCCACCGCATTGACTGCTGAAGGATATTAAGATGGTTATTAAGCAGATATTACTTGTGGTTACTGGATCTGAACTACAAAAATTCACTAGCAGTGTCAAAGTGTGCTCTCAGCAGTGCTTGCTTGGTTAGGTTCGTCAGTCAGGTCCTTGATCTCTGCTCATATCTTCTATTGGTTGTCTGGATTTTTGTAGCCCAGATTGCGTAACTCCAGATTAAACTAAAAACAGAATCTTGTGGCAGTATAAACAGTAAACCAGAATGACACAGGATATAAATGCGACCATTACATATTTGCATTCCAGTGTCCAATGCAAATGTATAAGTTGAGGCATTTGCATAACCATACATGTATCTTTTGCACAGAGTTCCTCCACATCTTTTAATTTAATTTTTAATAGACCTCTTGTATAAAGCTTA